AGCGAACAAGACTTCACAGAACAAGGACCACAAGACCAGAACACAACAGAGGAAAGCTCACCAAAGCGGCAAAAGCGGGAAACACAACCCCAGGATCCACAAGACCCGCAAACCGTGCTCTGGACTCGTACTACGTCAATCACTGTCACCGGACAGCCCGCTACTGAGTCTTCTGCTGCTTCTGCATTCAACCAGGACTTGCCTACCTCTATACTTGATGCGGAAATCTCTGCCGGGACAGATAATGAATCACCTGAGGAGTTCTGGAAGTCGCAACGTCAGGCAGCTCAAAAGAGAAAAGTTTCACAAGGCAATCGTGACGCTTCGGGCACCGTTCAGGACGAGGCCTGCGTCCACGATCCGATCTTTGACTACGTTCTGGAAAGGCGGAATGTGTCTGAACCATGTCAAGATGGTAATATCGCGCTGAGCACGATTCCTCATCTCATGCTTAAGCCGGATGCTGCACATGGTTGGGGTGCGGAGAGGAAGATAAACTCTGAAGTTTCTGGGTCTATCATGGGTTCTTGGTGCTTTATCTTTACACATTTCCTTTTATTTCTTGTTTGTCAGGTTGTTGTAGCGGCATGATGCCCCGAGCGATGTGTTAGCGATGTAACTCAGCATGCTTTGGCTTTATTCATAAGTCAAGAGCTATTCGAGTTGCATTTCTCTGTCGTGGTGTGATATAATGCTGTCAGCTGTTGTTCCATCTCTTCCTGTCAACCGCCAAATCCAACGCGATAGGACAACGACGTCTTGACCTCCAGAGTTCAACCTCCTACAGTCCGGTAGCCACGTCCGCACCAGGCGTCTTTTCTAGAAGCGTTCCGCTCTTTTCATGCCTCAACCACGATGGGCGTGGTCTTGAAGATTCTTCTGGCTCATTTACTTGTCATTTTTTGTTATTTCCTTCAGTTTTTCTCTATCACTTACATGACCTGTGGATCTGCCCTGAGCCAAGCGCATGAAAGATAGCTAACTGTTGTTCTAAAGTTTCGAGCTTATACCGATCCTTTGAACGCGAGCTCATCCAGCTCCATGCATCCTCCGTCAATTCCTCCTCCGCCGCCGCCGCCACCTCCACTCAATGTCCCTCCGTCGCGGGCGCGCCTACAGCTCGCTGCTAGGCTGGCTATGAACAAACGCAATGCTGCGGCTGTATCGGCAAACGGCGAGGAAGGCGCTTCCCCTCCGGGTGACGACGACTGTGGATCTGGAAGCTTCGGATCACCAGAGACCAGCGACCGTCAACGTAATCCATTCGCAGACGACGAGGACGACGAGCACGGAGGCAGCGGCTCCGGCTCCGGCAGCGATGGCGAAGTGGACAATGGGGATGACGACGACGTCGGAAGCAGTGCGTGGAATCGTGGCTCGTGGTGGCGTGGGGTGGTCCGTACTGCCCGGCGGAGCAACCGGAAGAAGGACGAGGCGGACAAGACTAAAGAAACAGAGCGGTTTGGGGACGGTCGCGATGATAGTGACGAGTCCGACGACGCTGTTGATGAGGATGAGGTGGATGAGGAGATGGAGGACGAGGAGTTTGGCGACTTTGCCATGCCCGAGGTTGAGGGCAGTGGACGAGATCCGTCGGCTGCCGCCTCTTCCGGAGGTATGGTCTCTGGGATTGATCCCTCGAGAGAGAAGATCTTGCTTAAGCCGCTGCCAGTGCATCCGAGCTCGCTGAAACCCAGTGTCAGTCCGTTTGGCAGCCTTTGGCCATTTTCTGGCCAGGGGTTCGGGTCAGCAAAGGATAAGAAGGAGGATGCGTTGAAGGATGTGGTGTGGGAGAAGGCGGGGGGCGAGTCGGCGGATCAGGACTTTGCTACGGTGGGCGAGAAGGTCTTTGAGGAGCCGGTGGAGCTGGACGAGGAGGGTGTGCTGGGGGAGGACGGCAAGAGGATCGATCGGGCGGTGGAGGCCAAGAGGCGGACGAGCATTGAGGACCCGGATGATGATGAGGTTGTTGTGGGACATGGGGTTGGAGAGGAGGTGATTGTGGGGAGGCATGAACTTGCTTAGTTTTTTTTTTTTTTTTTGTTGGTGTGGTGTGATGTGATGTGGTATGGTAGCTGAGTGGTGGATACTTATGTTTACGAACGAAGGAACGAGGGATTTGGTTTTGGTGGATGGTGATGGAAAGATTTTACATGTGCGCGTGTGCGGTAATGGAACGACGCAATGGCGATATATATAAATTGGTAAGTAGGTATGGAAGGGTGGATGGATGGGAATGATTGGCTGTAGTTGTAGCTACACTGTGGTTCTATTTTGAAGTTTTCTTGACGCTGTTTAGGGGGGGGGGGGGGGTGGAAAGGGTGGTTGGATGTATGGGTTAGCATCGTGGTCATCATCATCATCATCATCATCGTCATCTTCATTCATCACATGGGGGCGGGTTGTGATAGAATAGGTGTATTTGTAGTTATTGGTTATGGCCTATTTTCTGTTGATGGTTTGTATGTCGTGATGATTATGTTTGTTTCTGTCTTGCATATTTGTCGAGCTGTTTTGGTTGTGAGGTGTGGCTAACTGGACAGATACGTCTGTTGCTGCAGGCGCTGGTGCGGAAAGTTGTATTTATGTGGATTACATATGGAAGGTTTGGACGGTTGAATTATGGGCGAAATAGATTTCGAGTCCTTAGTGTATTTGGATTGTTGCTTCGAGCGGATTGGAAAGAGTGATTGATGTCACTCTACTGAGCTGTGGTTAAGAACATTTTGTTTATTGGTGCAGGGGGCGTCTTATCACTCCTTATCATTCCTTATTGCTAACACATAAGTGTCGAGGGTACTTCTTGCTCACATGTATCCTCGGCACATGACAATCAACCCTCCATCCCGCTCCCCCCACGATGTCATACAGTATTGAGCTGCTGGGGACGTGGCGCAATTGTGGCCTCTTGGTGGCTGCATCAAGTGATTCAGAAGCAGGTGGCTGAAGCGAATCATTGCGAACTCTTGTGGTGACCTGGCAAAATATGTTTCTCAGGGCCTTCTTTGGCGTGTTGGTGTTTCTATACGTGTCGGTCTCCATACGGGTACCAGGTCAGTCTTTGCGAAGCGAGGAAGGTGCTCATGCCGCTTCTTCCTGCCCTGTCCAGCTTGACGGGGCCAGACAAACATACCTAATCACGGTCGCACTCCTTTCTCGGACTCGGCGCAATGCTAGAACAAGTTTAGACATACTGTGGTAATAATTGACATGACACCTACAAATGAACAGATTGTTTACTACTTTAACCGACCGCATCCTACGATCCGAACCTGAGTGCTTTGGCAGTTTGACTGCTGCTTTGTGACCTAACCTAAGGTACCTAACTTATAGCTCTTGTGCGCTGCAATTAAGCTATCCGATGCCTTCTGCCCCTCCAGAAGAGGATGCGCGCGTTGAGCACCAACTGGGCGAAGACGACGACAATGACAGCCTCCCAAAATGCAAAGCCCCGACGCTCCTCTCCAAACTCAGCTATGCGAGCTACATCTACGCGATTAAGGGAGCGATAGCGCCGCTCGTGTGGCTGCGCGACTGGAAGGAGTACTTTATCCCGCCTGAAGGGGCGCCCAACATTGTCAAGACGTACGAGTGTCGGCCCAGCTTGCCAGTCCGGTGAGTACCTCGCATCTTTTCAGACTTGCGACGTCTCTAGGCAGCTAACAAAACTCCCGCCATCGTCAGCATCTTCTTCCCCTCCTCGTACGACCAAACCTCCCCCGCAAGCCTACCGACCCTCCTAACCATCCACGGCGGCGGCTTCTGCGTCGGCAACGTGCGCGACGACGACGAGTGGAATCGCGCCTTCGCCGACGCCCACGACGTGCTCGTCATCGCGCTCAACTACTCCAAGGCCCCCGGGTCGCCATTCCCGACCGCCCTGCACGACATCGAGGCCCTGCTGCTCGCTGTCCTCGCCGACGAGAGCTTGCCCGTCGACCGCTCCCTACATGACAACAAAAGTGGCCTGGGCCGCACTGCCCTCCTCGGCTTCTCCGCAGGCGGCAACCTCGCCCTGTCTGCCGCACAGCTGCCCTCGGTTCGCGCGCACCCGCTCGCGCCCGCCGCAGTCGTCAGCGTCTACGGCGCGCTGGACCTGAGCGTCCCGCCTGCTGAGAAGCTCGCTAACCGGCCGTGGAAGGCTGGGCTGCCTGCTCCGCGGGGCACTGGTGGGACTGGTGGTGATGATGATGAAGGAAGGGTAGACGCGCTAAGCACCTTCGCCCCGACCTTTGAATGGTCGTACATACCCTACGGGCAGGACCTGCGCGACCCGCTGCTGAGCCCGGGGGGTATGCGCCCCGCGACAGGCTGCCGCCATATGTGGCGCTCGTGGCGGCGGAGCTGGATATGCTGGCGCATGAGAGCTGGCGGGCGGCGTGTCGGTTGGGGAATGAGCAGATGACGAAGGGGGGAGAGGGAGGGAGGACGAGGGTGGTGCCGGATCGGGAGAGTCGGGAGAAGCCGTGGCGGGTGTGCGGGAGGGAGGATGTGGGGGGGAAGGTTGGGGAGTTGGAACGGGAGGGGGATGAGAGGTTTGCGTGGGAGGATTATGTACATGTGGATGGGGATGATGGTGGAGAGGAGAGAGGCGTCAAGTGGCTGCTTGTGCCGGATGTGAACCATGGGTTTGACAACCCGCAGTTCAGAGGCATGTTGGGCGGCGACGAGGAGACGATTAAAGATGCGGTGTTGAAGACGAAGGCGTACCAGGCGGAGCTGGGGAGGTGGTTGAGGGAGAGGGTTTGGGGTTTGTAGGGGGGCTGTTGTTGTTCTTGTCTTGGGTTGTGTTTATTGGTCCGAGTAATACGTGCGTACATGATACCTTGGTAGATGAGAATAAATGTCGACGATTTCGACTTCTTTTTCGTTGTGATACTTTGATGAGGCGCAGGTGTGGAGATATATTCAATTGCCGGTGCCCGATGACTTAATCATTGGAAACATGTGCAAACAGGATTGAAAAAAGAAACTGGTTGCAAAAAGATGCAAAAGTGAAATCTCCTCGACCGGAATCGAGCCGGTGACCTTTCGATATGATTTTATCAATTACAGTCGAACGTGATAGCCAACTACACCACAAGGAGGTTTAATTTCATTTGTTGAAAAAGTGGAACGGAATCACTGGTCAAGGTGACTGAGTGGTTGAGTCATGACCGTAGCCCAGTGCGACCCACTTGATGTCCCTGATACGCCCCTTTTTCAGCCGTTGTTTCCACTTTCCACGACAGGATACCTATCAATGCATCATGATTTTATTTGCAGCGTGCCGAAGCGATTTGACACATGAAGGATATATGTCACTATGGGCAGGGTTTTGCATTTGCAAGTCACGGGAAGGTGATATCCCGTTATGAAACACGCGTCCTAGGCGACTATCATCTGAGTCCAGTGACTGGATCGGTGAATGGATGGACGGACTTAGTCATTTGCGGTACACAGATAGTTCCAGGTCGGCTATCATGATGTTTAACGAATATTGGTCTGGGTTGTTTCATTTAGACTAAGCTCTATCTCTATCTATTCAGTTGCTAGGACAAAACAAAATCTACAAAGGGAAAACAAGCCACAAACATACGATTACTGTGCCCTTCGAATCATGTGAAAACAACCGCAAGGGAAACCGGACTGGCTATGAAGATGATGATGCCATCACAACCAGGGCGAAAATGAAAGTGAAAAGAAAAAGAATGGTAAAAAAAAAAAATATGAGTCGAGAGTGAACAGCGTTTCCAACCCATCCGTCGGTCATTCTCCACCATAATAACAATGCCATGATGGGTAAGGGTCATTCTTGAAAAACACAGGACCAGACCATCTTTTCAATGCTCTGTCTTGTGTGTGCAAGCCTCACATAATAAAGTAAATCAACTGTAAGCCAAAGCGTTGCTCTCCCCTACGTTACCGCTGAATCGAGACCAAAAGTCTCTCCAATGCTGCTTGCAGCGTATATTCCAGGTACAGCAGGTTTTGGCTTTATGAAGAAGAATCTTACTTATCGGCTTGGTCGTGTTGCTGTGCCTCTGCCGGAGGCGCAGGATACTCGTGCTGCAGCTGAGGTTGGGAAATATCAAGCTGAGGAACAGCTGACTGTTGCAGCAGCCGTCGGCGGGTCCATTCCTGCTGGTATTGCTGTTGCCATTCCGGCGACATCTGCTGCCATCGCTGCCGCTCTCTCGGCAACATCTGCTGTAACCATTGCTGCCATACTGCCTGGATCCGCTGCTGTTGTTGATTCAGCCCCTGAGGCAGTTGCGCAAACATCATGGTGCTTGTCGGTTGCTGATTCGGTTGTTGATGCTGCGTCTGCGACACCTCCTGCTGCCACTGCGGATCGAAGACGGCTTGCTGCTGAGAACCGGCATTAAAGTCGTTTGGCCCGTAGGCTCCCACCACCGGCGAAGGGATGGAAGCCTGAGGAATTGGGAAAGGTGTCGTATTCACATCGGCCTGCGTCTGTCCTTGGTTCTTAGTTTGTGTGGCCTTCTTAGTCTGTTTTTGGGCCTGCGTCTGCGTCTTCTTCTGAGCCTGAGATTGCGTCTTGGCTTGGGCACCAGCGTCTGACTTGCCAGAAGCCTTTCTTCCGCCTCGACCTCTTCCTCTTCCTTGAGCGCCCCCACTGGCTGCACGTGGGGGCTGAGGCGGAACCGGGCTCTGAGGAATGTTTTGGCCTGTGTTTGGAGTATTCTGGTACAACTGGGACAGAAGTTAGTTCAGCTGCCTTGATATTAATCTGCAGTGGTGGCGTATATCCTTACCTGAGCATTAGGTGTTTGGGACGGGAATGGGGTTGATCCATAAGCATATGCTTGCGGGCTTGACTGCGTGTTTAGAGTAAAATCCCAGAATTGCGGCGACTGTGTAAGAGCTGAGTATCCAGGATCGGGTGAAGCCGAGACTGGATACCTGCCGGGAACCGTTGGAAAGGCTGGTGGCGCTGCGCCTTGTGTGAACGCCATAGTGGGTATCGCCATGCTCCAGGGCGCAGCTGGTTGAGGTAAACCACCCTGCTGGAAGCCCATCGTCTGCTGTGGCTGCACGTCCATGCTGGAAGAACCCATCTGGCCCTGTGCCGAGGTATTGTTCCCGGCAGATATGTCAGGCGTGCGATAATCTTTGAGTTTCAAATTTCTGGCCACATTATCATCCCTCTTCTTCATGACCGCCTCTACGGGACTGGCCACAGTGTCTCTCCCAGACAGGCTTCTTTGCTGCAGCCTACTTAGTTGCGATCTTTCTCCGGCAGTCAGACTGGGTGATGGTGCTGGGATGGGTGCCTGCTGCTGTTGACCATGCTGTGGGCAGTGCTGTTGACTGGAGGTTGTATGTTGCCTCTTCATGGGAGCACTGGGTGATTCGGTGAGCTGCCTTTTGGCTGGCCTCACAGGGGTGTTCGACGGAGGCACGTCTTGAACTGGTGGCTGGTAGATGTGGAGGGAGTTTGAAATGAAAGATAGGATCGGGTATTGGTAGCCATGCTGTGGCGCTTGTCCCTCTTGTCCACCATGGCTGACCACAGGTATGGCGTGGGAGAACAGCTCGGGCGGGAACTCTACACCAAAGTTTTCGCCGGCTGGGATGTGTGAGGGATGGAAAATCAGCAAGGCGGAGTCGTTATAGTCGTTGGGGGTCGGCTCGGGGCCGTTGACAGCGGTAGCGTCCCACGAGGGACCGTTTCCTGCGGGGGCGGGAGCTTGCGCATTCATGGCCTGGCTGCCATAGTAATTGAAACCTGGTAAATTGAAGAGTTAGCTGTAGAATACTAATGGCCCAGTCAACGACTTCAAAAATGCTTTGGACAAACGCAGGCACGAACTTACCGGGCTGCTCATCACCCTGCTGCTGCTGCTGCTCCCTCCCTTGCGGTCCATCACCGTCGGCCATTATTCTATAGCAGACTTAACGGGCCTGATCGATGTATCGTCAGACTATCAACTATTTCGTATCGCGGTAACACGGGAAAATTATTGGATATTGGATCAGCTGTCAGCGCTTTGTCGAGGGGGGAAAGGGAGGTGGTATAAGGTCGAAGGGTTGTGGAAGAGGAAGAAAAAAGATTAGGAAGAGTGCGGGAGCGCAGAAGATTAATCTCTGGGTGGGCAGGTAGGCGCAACAAACCTCAGCCTCCGCAGAGATTAGATCTGCTGTAAAAGTCAAAATCAAATTCACAAAGATCCACCTGGGTCTCGAGCTTAATCCAGGGCTGGTGTGACAGGATTAAAGAGACACGGTCGTCTAAGAGGGCCAGATGGGCCGTTTGGCATCTTCCAAGCCGATTTCTTGTCGAGTTGTAGTAACTGAAATGTATTCTAATATGAAGAACCCCGAGTGAGCGTGGCAAGGACCGTGAAACGAGAATAGGGGCAGGCAAACTCCGTTCGCTGAGCAAGGTTTGTGCGATATTCAAGAGAGGGCTATTGCCCAGCTAGAATAATAGCATGTAGAATACGGCTCCAGGTGTGATCGAAATACCTCCACCGCCGTACCTCACAGCCACCGCTGACCCACTGAACCCTCATACCCTCATATATTTCACAGCCATTTTTGCAACGGTGGATTTCTTGTGCGAGCCTGGCACAGATGGTGTCGAAGCTAAATTTTAACAATGTGTAACCACCGAGTAGCATCTGAACAGTGTGTCAAAGTCGCTGACACATGCACACGATCCACATCAAATTTGTCTCCTTTCGTCAGATAGGGTTTCGGCGTCATTTGGAGTTAGAATACGAGATCTGCCCTGCATCGCGGATGGTATTTAGACAGGTTTCGTGGTGGGAGCAGCTGGCCCTAAAGGACAAGAAACCCAAGTGAGAGTAAAGAAAGTTAAAGGTGATAGTAAGCTTAGGTTTTCGCGGAGTATGGCTTGGGTAAGTTCATACCGTACATGTCAGTGACAATGAATCCATGCAACATGACTGAAGGTGCAAAGTGGTGCTCAACTACAACCCACGAATGAGAGACATCAGATGAAATCCCCTTGCCCCTGAATCCTTGTTTATCAACAGCGAATGCGCCTCTGGGCCCTCAATAATGTCGTCCAGTTCACGAAAAGACGTTGTGCACCCACATTTGGTTTGACCGTTGAATGCCATCGGGCTTGAAGCCTACCGCTAGTAAACGCCACGTTACGTTTCTAAAAAGAAAAACCACGCTATTGAAAACTTCACAAGCTAATATTACAAAAGTCGCTACATTATCATCCCTCGCCCCACAAACTCAAATCCTCTCGCCCTCCAACTCGGCCTCGGTCCACTCCCACAGCTTCGCACTCTTGGCCTCATCCTTCGCAACCGGACTCTCGTTTCCGCCCTTCCCCACAGGCACATAATACCTTCCATTCTCTATCCTCTCCTTCAGCGCCGTCGCCGCCCACAGCTGGCTCTTGGCTCCGTCCTCGACCGGGTACGCCTGCAGCTCCAAGAGCTTGACAACCAGCCACCACAGCACGTTCTTCTTCTCCAGCGCGACGGCTAGGTCCGTCCGCACGGTGCCGGGGTGCGCCGCCACGGTCAGGATCTGCGGGTAGTGCTTGGCCATCTGCTGGGCGAAATACACGTTCGCCAGCTTGCTCTGGCCGTAGCGCAGCGCCGAGTAGTGCTCGGCCTGCTCCGTCTTGATGGTGGCGTAGTCGATTGGACCCGAGGGGCCGCGCAGGGGGATGTTGTGGCCGGCGGACGAGAGCACGACGACGCGCACGTCGGCGTTGGGGAGAGTGGTGGTCTTGAGAAGCAAGGGGCGGAGGAGCTTGGTGAGGAGGGCGTGGCCGACGTGGTTGGTGCCGAATTGGATCTCGTAGCCCTCAGTGGTGAGCCCCGGGGGCGTGGCCATGATGCCGGCGTTGAGCATGAGGATGTCGAGCCGGTCGGACTGGCTGACCACGGTGGCGGCGGCGGCGCGGATGGAGGCGAAGGAGGTGAGGTCGAGTTGCAGGGCGGTGATGTTGGCGGAAGGGACCTCCTTGCGGATTTCGTCGATGGCGGCTTGGGCTTTGGAGAGGGAGCGGGCGCCCATCCAGATGTGCGCGGGCGAGTGCTTGGCGAACTGGAGGACCGACTGCTTGCCGAGGCCGGCGTTGCCGCCTGTGACG